ACGGAGTATAGAGCCCGGTAGTATAGAGAGCCCAAGCGTGGTCAGGGTGATAGCGTGGTCAGGGTGATAGCGTACGGGTGGTGAGGGTAATAGTAGTGAGGGTGGCGAGGGCACAGGCGTAGGCATAGGCGTATAGGTACGGAGATCGTATATATATAGATATAGAGAGCGTATGCGTATAGGTAGAGGCCCGTGGTATAGAGAGTATAAAGAGCAGGCGTAGGCGTAGGAGCAGAGGGCGAAGGTATAGGCGTGAGCGTAGGCGTACGGGGCATAGGCATATGTGTAGACTGCGGCAACATCCTCAATATCCACGGACATCCGCATATCCTCTCCGCAAATTGCGGATATGGTATGTCACGTAATATCCGCAATCCTCAATTTTGCGGATATGGTATACCACCTAATATCCTCTGGATATTTGAGGATATCCAATGGATATCAAACCAGCCAAACACGCCTAGCCTCGTGACTTTTTTGAGCGTGTATAAATTATGCGGTTTCTTGTGTATTTTTGAAGTAATCTTCGTGTAATCATCATTTTAAAGATTTCAATCTGGTAAACATGATTCTGTCATTTCTAATCAATACTTAATACTAACTACCTTAAATCAATCTGAAATCCATCAGGTAACCTAGGTTGCTTCCGAATTCGCCCCGACCGTCCCTGCATGCCCTCATCTATTGGCATTTCTGGAAGGTCATCGTCATCGTCATCAAAACATTCGGATGATCGTTTCTTTGATCGTTTGCGCTGCAGTTGCTTACTTTGATCATTATTCTTCCCACTACCCAAATCATCATCGCAGCTCTCTATCTGTTGTGTATCCTCTATGCTAGGCTCTTGATCCTCCTCTTCGTTATCACTAATTAGCTCAAGTGTTTCAAGCTGGGGCATTGGTTTCCAAGCTTGATCTAACAACGCAGCTTCTCCAATGGATAGATACTCCTTGATAACCTCTATCTCCTTCTGCTCAACGTCAAAGTTAGTGGCGAATTGATGAAGCATCAGTCCTCGGATGGTACTTGGTTTCAATTGCCCGCGACGATAGTGGCACATATCGCGAGCGCAATTAAATAATCGCTCAACGCCTGCGCCACTAGCTGGGATTGAGAGATTATCCCGTGCTATCCTCGCAAGAATAGGAAACTCATGCTCATGGTCTTTCCAGAATGCTCTAGGCTTCTGACCCTCGATCCCGCGGGCAAGATACCTCGCAATCTCATCATCTTCGGGCTTTGAGAGCCTATGCTGTGGCTGGCTCTGAGAAGCACAAGCAGCATCAAGATCACCATAATCATCATCCAGGGCCTCTTTAGTGGTATCTTGTAAGACTGTATTGTTTGAATCATGGTGAAGTGTCTCTTTATATCGATCAAACTCTCGCTTAAGAACTCCATGATAGTGATCAACATAGTTAATTTCACCTTGCCAGTCTGATGATGCAAAATATCGAAGTTTTTTTGATGGGCAAAGGATTGTCGCGAGTGCATAGACATCACCATATGATTCATAATCGGTCGCAGTGTAGTACTTTGAGAGCTTCCGTTTAGCAGTCTGAAGAGCTTCGAGCATGTGCTTCTTCCAGACAACACCTTTATTCTTCAACTTACTCTCAGCTTCATCAAGATGAGAGAAAAGCTTGTTGTAAATACTATAGATGTTATGTGTAGTAACATCCTTAGTCTTAGACAACATATTTGTGAAGTCGAAGAAAGGCTTTGTGAGAAGAAGAAGGTATTCAATCTGTCGCCACTCTTCTTGATCAAGTTTGAAGTGAAGATACTGATGGTCTATACAATACTGATCATAGAATGGTTGTAGCCTTTTGGCCCGATTCAGCATGATAAAGGTCGAGTTCCATCGGGTTTGGACATCTTGAACAGGAACTAAACGAGGCTCCTTAGTTTGTAGAGCCATAAATGCCTCCCGGCGTTGTGGGCTTGCATTGATGAAGACCGCAAGACCTCGGATCTAAAACTCTTTTATCAGAATAAACTACAAGCCTTAGGGAGATAGAACTTGCCTTCTTTAAGGTATCTGCAATTTGCCGAGTTGAGCTAGATCTTTTGGTCTGAAATGAATGGGTCCGCTCATCAGACCACTCTAGTTCAATCTCTTTGTTAGGTGGTGTCACCTTTAGCTTCCCAAGAAGCTCATTCAAGCTTAATTGAATCACATGCGCAATACATGGAACTCGGAAAATCAAGGTATCTGATTGGCTTTGCGACTGGATAGTCTCTTGGATGTTCATCATCAAGGTATTGTTATTCGTTGCATTATCTGTTGTCACAGATAACACACGATCAGTGATTCCATGATCAGTTAGAAGCTGGATTACGGTCTTGCTCAGATTTTCACCAGTATGAGATCCATGAAGATGCTCAAACCCAAGAAGAACTTCACAGTAATTCCAGTCCTGATCAAGGAAGTAACCTGTGATGGCCATGAAAGCTTGCTGAAATGGCGATGTCCAGCAATCAAGCGCTAGTGAGAGGCGACTCCCATCTGGAAGCCTTTTCAGAACCCCCTTCTGGTCACTTCTGACTGCAGAATCAAGATAACGTCGTATGCTTCGCGCGGATGGTATATCGATCTTGCTGTGGGCTTGTTGAATAATCTCTACTAGATCTTTGAATTGGGTGTGTTCAACGATTCGGAAGGGTAGGTGAGCTGTAGAAATGAAGTCTAGTATCGCTTTCACCAGACGCTCCTGGGAGAAGGGTTGGTGTCTAGGGATAGTTGGCTTTGGGATAGTTATTAAGATTAGCAAGAGAGATATTAGGGGTCTTGATGAAAGAGAAATATACCATATGTTTGAGTAGCTGATCGATCCTCTGGGTAACTGGCTTCCGAGTACAAGTGCCTGCCTTAATATGTGCATTCATTGGCGATGACCCAGCACGGCGATAGCTTGGATGAACAAGGGTACAGAGACATGATGTACACATAACCTTTGGCTTGCCAGTCTTCTCATGTGCAACCTGATTGAAATTATCCCAGACACTTGATGTCTTTTTCCCATCCCAACGGATCGAGTCTTGTATTTCGGGCGCTGATCCAGACTCTGTATTTAGCCACCACGTTATAAAGCGCTTACGAGATCCATCCATCTCGCTACCAGGCTCGGAGGAATAGAGGACCCAGTACTGTTGAAGAGGGAGGCCAACACGCGTAAGCGAGAGGGGCGCAATCGGAAATGAAATTCGGGACGTGGATGTCAATGAAGCCTGACTGCCAATGAGCTCAGAGATATCATCTGAATAAAGGAGGTCGGTATTCAGACCTAGATCTGAATCGGCGCAGAAGGAAAATTGGGACTGAGATGCCTGTGAGTAAGACATACTGTACTTGATCACTATACAAGAGAAAGAAAGGGAGAAACGTACATATAGGACGAGCTGAAAATATCAGGGTTATGGCAATAAGCTGCAACTCGTAAGTTGCGGGGTGCGTTTTCGATATATCTCTTACTTTTAATGACGATGATTGGCTATTACTAATCACCAGTGAGGATAATTGAGGATAATTAAGGATATATCGCGGATATCCGCATGGATATCCTTGGATATCCGCATGGATATCCTTGGATATCCTCGACCTTACTATCATACTCACTAAGTCCGCTGTCCACAACATTAGAGCTTCCGACCGGTATTTCTTAGAAGGATATATTTAAAAACTTAATATACTTAAAAGATAGGCTTAGGAAACTAATTTAAAGCTAGGCTAGTTAAATTTGACCAAGAAATGGTGAGTTTAGTCATATGTACATCGTTTAGCTAAAAGATCCTACACTACTGCCTTGAGTAAATATATATTTCCATGGTAAAGTAAAGTGGAATTACAAAAAATCATGTATATCCCCCAATCTACTTCAAAACTCAAATTGCTGCTATAAGTAATAATAAAATGAATATAAATTGCTTAATACAAATATATTTCTTAATATTTCATGAGGAATTAGGATAAATAAGGCTAGTAGTATGGTCAGGACCAAACCTGTGTATCTTTTGTTCTGAAAAATAAATTAATCAGCTGGATAAGAGGCACATGACTACCCCTAAGTAGATAATCAGGCGAGAGTTATGCTAGTGCGGATATCCGCAAAATATCCTCATATCCTCGCGGATATCCATGGATATCCTCATTGAGGATATGGTATGGAAGTAATATCCATTATCCTCAATTTGCGGATATGGTATTGAACCTGATATCCAGCGGAGAGGATATGCCGCAGTCTACATATGTGTAGGCGTGGACGCAGGGGTGAGTGTAGGCGTAGGTGCACCGGGCGTAGGCGTACAGGGTAAAGGGCATAGAGGCGCAGAGCGCAGAGCCCGGGGTGGCGAGTATATAGGGGATCATCGTTATCAGTATGGTCAGGGTAATGGAGAGAGGTCAGGGTTTTGGTAGTAAGAGATATGATTCAAGTAGAGAAAGCGTGATTTCGGCCGGAATAATTAAAGTATCAATACAATATATAGATCAATCGGGTAGAGGATAGAGATATCGGTCGAAGGAATATCGTGAGGATAATTATATATCGAGGTAGAGAGCGTAGAGCCCAGGGTAGCGAGGATAGAAGGGTGCATCACGAACGATCCGGATTTCGAAAGAAAGATATATCATTGATCGAGAGAATGATGTTCGCCCATACATCAGTGATATTGATAATATATATATTCATAAACCAGAGAGATGGTGGAAATGGAGATTTCAGTAGAAATAAATATAGTCGGGAGAATCCGATATCCCAATCGAGGGAGTACAGGTAGATAGAAATCGACAGCGTAGGGGTATAGAGTATATCGATATTCCGAGTATAAGTGTGGTCCGGGTGATAGCGTATCGGGTGGTCAGGGGAAGAGAGAGAGAGGATGCATTCGGCCGGCATCCAGTTAGGATTGCGAATATATAGATCAATCGGGTAGAGGATGGCGATATAGGACCCAAAATATATTATCCGAGGTAGGGTCATATATTCGGGTATCAAGCATCAAGACGGAGAGAGCATAGGCGCATAGGTATTCATAGGGCGAAGGGATCGAGATTCCGAGTGTAGGGAGATGGAGGGTAGGGGTAGGATAGAGCGTAGGGGTAGTAAGGGTGATCGTGGTAAGGGTGATAGTATGGTTGGGGGGATAATAGCGTAAGTGGGTAGGGTGGTCGGGGTAAGGATGATCGTGGTAAGGGTGGTCGTGGTAAGGGTGGTCGTGGTAAGGGTGATCGTGGTAAGGGTGATCGTGGTAAGGGTGATCGTGGTAAGGGTGATACAGTAGGGGTAGTAAGGGTAATCGTGGTAAGGGTAATCGTGGTAAGGGTAATCGTGGTAAGGGTAATAGCGGTAGGGGTAATAGTACGGTCCGGGTAATAGTATATGGGTAGTAGGGGTAGTAGTATACCAGGCATATCGGTATAGAGAGGATAGGCGTAGGGACAGAGGGCGTAGGTGCAGAGATGGTAGGTATAGAGAGCGTAGGCGTAGGGACAGAGGGCGTAGGTGCAGAGAGTATAGGTATATAGGTGCGGAGGGCATAGGGATGGGTATAGGCGTAGGTATAGAGAAAATAGACATACAGGTCCGGTGGATACCAGCGTAGGGTAGCGAGTATATCCGGGACCCGGGTAATATATATCGTCAGAGTAGAAGAGAGGTCAGGGTTTCGGTAGAAAGAGATATCATTAGTAGAGAGAGAATGATTTTACAGAAATATAAGGAAGATCGGTAATATATCGATTTATATTGAAGAGCGAGAATAGACATCAAGATTTTCGTCGGAATATATAGAGTAGGGAGAATGCAATATTCGGGTCGAGGGAGTATAGGTATACCGATAATAAAAGCGAAGGGGCATCGAGTATATGGATATCAATCATATCAGTATAGTCAGGGTCACAGGGTATATAGTAGTCAGGGTAAGAGCGTATACGGTAGTAAGAGGAAGAGATTAGTCGGAATCGGGTTAGTATACAGAAGATATATATCAATCGGGTAGAGGCATAGATATATGAGTCCCAAACGATATGGAAGGAGTAAGGGTAAGTATATATTAGGGTATAGAGTAACATGGAGAGTATCGGCGTAGGGGTAGGGAGAGGCGTCCGTATCAGGGTATAGGATATAGATATAGACGTAGATATCAAGGTAAGTACCGGTATAGATAGGGTAATGGCGTATAGGGTAAGATAGGAGAGAGAGAGAGAGGAGAAGAGAGAGAGGAGAAGAGAGAGAGGAGAAGAGAGAGAGGAGAAGAGAGAGAGGAGAAGAGAGAGAGGAGAAGAGAGAGAAAAAAAATTAAATAGGAAATTAGAAAATATAGACAATATAGATATGAATCAAAAGGGATTTGATAGAAGTCGCGATTTTGGTAGAAAGATAGATAGTTAGGATATAAATCGGTATAGATTGAGGGTTATTGGTTAGTTTGGCAGATATAAGTAATGTGAAGTATAGAAGTAGCGGCGTATGGGGTTGGATGATAGTAGAGGGGGAGTTCGGACGGGGTTTCCAGGGTTATAGAGATACGATATAGGAAGGTTGAGGTTATATAGGAAGATATCGGGATCGAATAGGATTGAGGAAGGGGCGATATAATAAATATTTCGATAGATGGTATAATAGATAGGTTAAGAGAGGATGAAGATAGAAAAGAGGAGGGTATTGATTAAGAATAATATAAGGTGGTAGAAGATAGACATAGTGGGAAGGATGGGGATATAAGGGAGAAGGAAGGAAAGTATAGTAAGGGTAAGAACGGGGTATATAGTGAGGGTGATAATTGTGTATGTGGTAAGGGTGGTTAGTAAAAGTTGATAGGGTGAGAATTGTGTATGTGGTAAGGGTGGTTAGTAAAAGTGGATAGGGTGAGAGTAGCGTAGGTGGTGAGGGTGAGAATAGGGTAGGTGGTGAGGGTGAGAATAGAGGGTGGTGATAGTGTATGTGGTGAGGGTGATAATGGCGTACGTGGATAGGGTAAGAATAGCGGACGTGGTGAGGGGGAAAATAGGGTGTGTAGTGAGGGTGAGGATAGTAGACGTAGATAGGGGGATCATAGTGTATATGGTACGGGTGATAGGGTGGATAAGGTAAGAATTAGCGTAGGTGGTAAGGGAGAAGGAGCAGAGATATGGATATACGCGCGAGCGAAGCGAGTAGCGTATTTGATGAACGGTTATCGCGGATTAAGGACCCGGGTCAGGGTGGATTTAAGG